TCATACAATGGAATACTATACAGTCTTCAAAAATAATATTTAAGAAGAATATCCAATGTGGAAAATAATCATTTAAAAAGCAGATGATGAAACTCTATATTCATTAAAAATCAAATAGAATAATATTTCTATACATGTTCACATAAAATCTGGAAAGATACACTATATAATGTTGTTAGAAGTTTATGTGCTATACTTTAGTCTGGTGAGTAGCATCTGGGGTCTTAAAAGCTTGAAAGTGGCCTTCTAAGTTACAACTATTAGTCTTTGCTTGTCTGGAACAAAAGAGAAAGATAGAAACCAAAGACTTAAAGAAGAAATTACATTACAGGATTAATAGCCCACATGAACTATGACTTTCTCTGTCCTGAGATCAGAAGACCACAACTGGTCCCACTACTGACCATTCTGACCAGGGACATAATATATAGAAAGGGAGGAAAATGTAGAACAATGCTCAAAATCTTAGAAAAGAAATCCAGACTTATTGGGCCAGTAGAAACCAGAGGGGCCCCTAAGAATGTCACACTGAGACACCCTTTAAACTTCGAACCCAAACCTGGAGATCACCTTTCAGTTAAAGAACAGATCAGCTCATAAAATAAACACCGCCATCTGTGAGTGCCATGCTTTTAAACCAAAACAAACACAACAAAGCAAATAAAATAAAACAAACAAAACTATATGAAACCAAATAGTCAACATTTACTGTAAAGCAAAGATGAGAGGGTCAGGGGGCTAGGGAATGTAGATTAATGGAAACAGAGCAACCAGGATGGAAATAATGAGAATACTGACTGGTGAAAAATGCAACCAATGCTACTTAGCAATATACATAGAAATTGCTAAACGGATACCTAAACTGCTGGGTAAACTTTCACCAAAAACACAATAAAATATTATTTAAAATAATAAAATAATTGTTCATGGTTCTTCCTAGATGCTGAGACTACTTTTTTTTTTTTTTCCTTCTTTCTTTTCTATGATAGGGATTTCAAAAAGTTCTTGGGAAATCCCATTGTCTTTTAATTATATATTTCCATGACTTTTTTGATGTCCCCTTGTAGATTTCACCAATTTCTTTAATTAAAAAAAAGTATGATTAGTCATAAAACTGTGGGTAGATTACTGTAGAGGACATAAATTCAATGATTGTTGTTTTGTACTGTCAGATCGATTTTGACTCATGGCCACTTTAGAAGACAAAGTAGAACTGTCCCATAGGATACCCTAGCCTGTAATTTTATAGAAGCAGATAGATCTCCAGGTCTTTTTTCCCATGGAGTTCAGCTGGTGGGTTCAAACTGTCAACCTTTTAGTTAGTAGCTGAGTGCTTAGCCATTGTGTCACCAGGGCTCCTTAAGTCTCGATAGCAGGATATAACTTTCAATGTTTAGACAAAGGCTTTATTTGATACATCAACTGTATTTCTAAATAAACATTACTTAGTTACATGAATAAAATTGCTAGACTTTATAGTATAAAGTCCTGGTTCCAAGTCCCAGTGCATGATACAAATATTTAGTACCTGGGAACATCCTACTTCAATAACCAATAGACTGGGTTCAGGCATCAGATGTGTCTGAATTTAAATGAAGCCTTTAGCTCCATTAGCTCTGCGATCTTGAAAGTTGCTTGTTCATGCTGAACTTCCTTTGTAAACGCGAGAGTGACTAAACCTATCCCCAAAGTCCTGGTGGCATACTGATTAAGCACTCAGTTGCTAGCTGAAAGGTGCAGTGGCTCTGTGGGAGAAAAATCTGGAAATCTGCTTTCACAAAGATTGCTGTTGTTGTTAAGTGCCGTCGAGGTAGTATCAATTCATAGCAACCTGGTATAGAGTTTCCGAGGAGCAGCTGGTGAATTTGAACCATGGACCTTGTGGTGCAAACTGACCTAGCTTGTTGTTCCAACTGACCTAGCAATCCAGTACTTATCCTACAATGTCACACCAGAACTACAGCCTAGGGGGGCTTATGGGGCAGCTCTGCTCCATCACATGGGCTGCTTTCAATCAAAACTCCACTGGATGGCACATAATAACAATAGGGGTTGTTATGAGAAGGAAACAAAACATCATGCCTAGTGTTAGTAATCAGTAAACATCGGCTGTTTTAATATCTGAATGCCGCCTTTACTGAGTACTGTTATTTGAGGAAAGTACTAGGAAATATTTGAAAAACACATTTTAAGAAAATGTATTGACTGTACTTGTATATGTCTGTGGCTATTTCCAGGCATGTTTTCTTATAAGTGTGCTAAAGTAATAACTTTGTGACAAGAAACTCATGGTGTATGGGTAGCTAAGTGGCAAAGTGTCAGACACTTCTGCTTGCTTTCTGTTTTATGACGGTTTTCTATCACCTCATTTGAACTCTGCTTCTGCTGAAGGCTTCATAAAGGAGAGCGTGTAAAAAAGACCAAGGTTGTTTTCAGCTGCAAGTCATGAGGGAAAAAGTAAGCAAATACTTCATTTGATCTCTTAGCTCTCCTAGGGAAATGATGGGAGGACCAATACGCTCATTCTTTCGGGAAGCTACACAGAACGTAGGAGACGTTGAAGGAAGGTACTCCTTGGTGGAGCCCTAGTGGCATTGTAGGATAACCACTGGACAGCTAACTGCAAGGTCAGCAGTTCAAACCCACCAGTCACTCTTGGAAACACTATATAGGATTGCTATGAGTCTCGATGGCACACAACGACAACAACAATCCTAGGTGGGTGGGTTTGTTGTTGTTGTTATGTGCCATGGAGTCGGTTCTGACTCATAGTGACCCTGTACAGGGTTTCCGAGGCTGTAAATCTATACAGGTGCAGAAAGCCTCATCTTTCTCCCATGGAACAGCTGGTAGTTTCGAACTGCTGACCTTGCGGTTCACAGCCCGATTCGTAACCACTACACTACCAGAGCTCTTTGGGTGGGTTTAGGAGTTATAATTAAAGGACACAATGAACTGAAAACGAGGGCACTTTGTTGGAATTTACCTTACTTGTCTGAGTGCCATTAACATTACCAGATGTTTTATGTATCGGATCATCTCAAACCCGAATCTTACTTTTTGTAATAAACACATGCCCAAACTTTCAAATACTACTTTGACAAAACTTAAAGCATAAAACAGGCACATTTAAGGTGGTATCTGTTTCTCCTGAGATGCTAAATGAGTAGGGACTAAAAGAACCAGGTTAATCCTGCCAAAATGAACTATAAAAGATATTAAATTAATTCTTAAATCACATTTGAATAATAAAATTAAATAGCTTTGGTTTGCAAATTTCTGTTACCAATTCTTAGAATAAATTCTTTATTAGATTGAATGTTGATGCCCCTGGGAACCCTGGGAACTGCTCCAAAATTAAGCCCCAACTGTCAATTTATGCTCTAAAACAAAATATCCATTTTAAAAAGTAAACTGTTAAAAATTAAGTCTTATATCATTGAGGAAGTTTATAAGGTTTCACAATCACTGTTTTAACACAGAAATATGTTTATTAAACCAAATGAAACAGAGAAAATTATACCAGCCCTCAATGTTTGGATTTTCATTTAAATAAGCAAACTCTAAGTCCACATCTTAAAAGATGTTTGTGCATCTATGTATTTCCAAAATACTCATATTTCAATAAGATTTTCACATTGTAGTCACCAACAGTATCACAAAAGTTCATTTTTTGTTTGTTTTTGTTTTTTGTTTACGTAACTGTAAGGAACAGGAATTCTAGAAACACTAGAAGGGAAAAGCATAGCAATGCCCACAGTTACCAGAAAAAGTGCACATTACTGGTCACAATCACAGTCATCACTTGTAAAACTATAAGTAATAAGTAGTAAGAAATACCACTCATAGTCCAAAATGGAATCACATAAATGACAGAAGTGAAATAAGGCAAATTCAGGAATGCACAAGGGATCTGTAATTCAAACAAAGCTAAACAACAGAAAAATAGTACAAGAAGCATGAACTAAAGGACTTCTTAAATATTTTTAAAAATTGGCTTGCTTCAGTGCACAAAGAAAACATCATTCATGTGTATTCAACACGATAAAAAAAGAATGAAGGGCAAAGTATGGGGACCAAGAGGGAACAGTTCATTGTAAGTTTGCAGCTGCATCCACTGAGAGGTCTTTACAGCATTTTAGCCTAGAAATTGGAAATTATACAAATTATATCAATAGAGGTACCGGTCTTTTTGGAAACTATTTCTGAAGAGAACTGAAAAGAAAACTACACACAAGAGTGCAAATTTTCAGATTGTCATTTGCAACCTCTTAACATTCAGTCATCTACATCCAGTTGCTGCTGCAGAGAAGTGGCAGTCAGGAGTGAGCAGCTGTGATCTTCCAATGATACGTCTTTTTTAATCTTACAAATCTGTGATGTAAACTGCTTATAGTGAAGCTGCAGTTCTGAGTGGGATGTCTGAGATCAGTATGAGTGCAGAAATGCAGGTCTCTCTTGGACGTCGTTCCTGATGTATCAATTTAAAGAAAGAAGGTATGGGTTTTCCAGCATCATGTGTTATTTTTGTAGAAAGAATTTGGAAAGGGGAGAAGGCAAAGCTATGTGGAAAAGGTACTTACAGTAGTTTCCCAAAACAGTATTCTTTAGGACCTATGAAAAAGTTACTAAAGTAAAAATGACAAATTTGAATGAAAAACAAGTTTTCTTTTTATAAAAATTACATATATATTTTTTTAAAATACAAGATCCTTTTAACTGTTGTTATATCCTGTAGCAACGGGAAATGTGGCTTTTTCTTTTTTTGTCAGTAACTTTTTTTTTTTTGCCAGCTTTCAAGTCCAACGAGTCAGTAGCAAATTCCACTAATATTGCACTTGAATCTTGAACTTATATATACATGTATATATATGTATATATATATATATATATATATATATGCATATATACACATATATATATGTGTGTGTACATATATGCCACAAGCTTCTTCTGTCTTATCCTTGAATTAAGAATATATATAGCCTTTTTTGCCCCCTATATTTATGCTGACATAGTAAAATAAAAAGCAATAGGCTGGACACGTTAAAGTATCTCAAGTACTTCACAGGTCAGAGTTCCTTTGAAGCACCTTAACACATCACTTTATGGATCAAGGACAATGTGGCATAATGGAAGTACCTCTCTTAAAAAGACGTGCAGTAAGACCAGAAGCATCTCTGCTGGGAAATCAAAATGTCATTAGTGGAAACTGCGAATTTCTACCTCAGTGAATATGGTTGTCATTTGACTCAGTTCTGTTGTAAAATAAGATTTTCCAGTTCATCTGCAGAACGCAATAAAAACGCAGCTGATTCTCGGTACCCTGCAACGAGCTGTCTCACAGCATTGATTTCAGTTGGACTTAACTGGGGCCTGGAACTTGAAGTGCTGGAGGATCCTGAGCTGGTTGCCAATTGCCTCTTCATGCTGAGATCGGTGGGTCCTAGAAAAAAACAAACACAAGATTAGACATGAACAATATTTATTCTAGCACCTAAAATGTTGATGTTGTTGTTGTGGTTAAGTGCCGTCGAGTCGATTCCAACTCATAGTGACCCTATATAGGGTTTCTGAGGAGCAGCTGGTGAGCTTGAACCACCGACCTTGCAGTTCAAATGACTTTGCAGTCTAATGCATTAGCCCACAGCACCACACCAGGACTCCTAAAATGATGAACATCCAATAAATGATGGTTAAATTACTTTGCATGCACTTTTGTGACACACTCATGATATTTTTTTAAATCAAATTACATTTCCTCTCAGAGAGAGTATCAAGAGACACATACTACTAAAAGAAAATATGTCAAAGATAGCACATTTCTTTCAGATCATTATGGAGAAATAGTGAGGATAGAGGAGTACCTGGGTGGGGCAAACAGGTAAACATTCTACTACTAGCAGAAAGGTTGGTGATTCAAATCCATCCAGGAATACTTGGAAGATAAGCCTGCAGGTCTGTTTCTGAAAGGTCAAGGCCCGAAAACTCTGTGGAACACAGCTATACTCTGAACCATTTCGGGTCGCCATATGGTAACTAACAGCAACAGTGAAAATCATAAAATAGTAAAATTTAAGTATGTGTTTTTTAGAAAATCAATTTTAAGTCAATCTTTTTATATGTTGTAGAAACTTTAACATGGTAAAGGTGATTACAAATATTTTTTCATTTACTGCACTGATATTGTAAACTCCCATCAATTCCAAATTTAAAAACTACCTAAATCGGGATGCTAATGTCTTTGGGGTCAAGCAGGGGAGTTCAAAGACATGATTAAAGTATAAAAACCTTTTTAAAATCTTTGATTGTGAATTGAGTGAAGGTTTCAGACAAGTTCATCAGTTTTATATACAAAAATTTGTACACTTCATTTCGTTTCAATGACTTCAATCCCCTCCATGTAACATCAGTTATTCCGCTTCTCCCTGCGGTTCCAATTTCCATTCCACCCTTCTTCTCAATGGTTCAGTCCTTAGGTAAATGTTGCCATTTTGATCTAGAAAGCTTTACCATTCCATGGTGAGAATACTGTACTACTGTTATTGTCCCCCGTTGCACAGCAGCTAATTATTCATTATATAGCCCAACTTCTCCATTCTGTGATATATTGTACATCCTAGCCTCTATGTCTGTAATTACGGACCCATTTTGAAAGGAGTTGCTAAGGAGTAAAGATTAAGGTGGGGCTAAGGAGTAAAGATACACAGAGTCACAGTACCAAAAGGAAATGGTTAATGTTCAAGCATTTCAACAGGTACCATATGATCAAGAGCCAATAATACTCAGGGAGGAAGTCCAAAGTGCATTGAAGGAATTGGCAAAGAACAAGGCACTAGGAATTGATGGAATAAAAATTGAAATCTTTCAAGAAAGTGAGGCAGCACAAGAGGCACTCACTCATCTCTGCCAAGAAATTTGGAAGAAAACTATCTGG